ATTTGTCCATTTACTCTAAATAATTATATCCGAAATGGAGTTTAAAATAAATAAAAAGCATTTATAAAATACGGAACTATAAAAAAACGAAATGTTTAATATCGCCACCATTATGGCCTTGACGATGCATTCATTAAAAGCGTGCATCGATGAAAAACAGCTGGGGACGCCATTTTGGTTACCCATATATTAAAAATTTTAAACCGAGAGGACAAGAATTTATTCCTATCTCTGACGCAAACTTTATTAAAGAATTTGCCTGATCATCGAGATAATTAGGAAGCCAGTTATCCATTTAATAGTGGCTTTGTAACACGAGAATAATGGCTATATGGGTTACCAAAATGGCGGGTCCAGCTGATTTGAATTCAACGACGCTTTCAAATGCATTATTATGAATGCATCGTCAGTCTAGGTGTTATTACTAACCATAATAGAAAATTACAAATTGAAACGAAAGAAATAAATAATTTTTTTTTAAAAAAAATGAAGAAATATAGAAAATAATTAAAGGTTAAAATTATAATTTCTGTCCATTTTATGATTAGATTTTTTTGGGGGGAGGGGCGGGGGAGAAAGGAAGGGGGTAGTGTTGTTAAACGGCTCGTTTTGAGACGATTCATAAAAACGTCTAACTCAGTATTTTATCCAGAAAAAATATTAAGAAAGCCTAAAGATTTTGCTCATAGAAGGAACAATGGTCTAGATATATATTAGCAAAATTTCGAGGCTTAGGCAATATTTTTCTGGCTAGAATATTGAGTTAGCCGTTTTGAAAAATCGGCTCAAAAACGCGCAGTTTAACTACACTAGAAGGGAAAATTAAATATTTATTTTCTGGGAAATTTTTTTTCCAAATGATCATCGAAGATTTCTTGTAACCCGAAAAGTCAAAAATAAAAATCATTGTAAAATGATGGATATATAAATATGAACAATTAATATAAAACTTATTTTATTTGACTTTTTTTGACAAAAGAAAATTATTTATCTTTTATTTATCATAAAAAGAGTAATAAACGTAAATAAAAAGTGTGGCCTTATTATACAAAGAGAACAAAGTTGTAATGCATGCGTATTATTTTACAAATTTATACAAATATACACGAAAACTAGACATAATGTTTTTAATTTTTTGGTATTTTATCGATATCTAATATCTATCTTCTCCTCTCATTCATAAAAATCATTAAATAATTCAATTTTGAAAGTTTAAAAAAAAAAGAAGTGAAATTATGAAGAATTATATGATATAGTAGGTTATTTGTTTCCGTCATCTACCTTAGATTCGAAATTGAAAATAATGAATGAACGAGTGTCTACCGTGATTTTCGACAATGCCAACTTCACTTCCGGCTTTAGTAAAAGCTGTCTTTTTATCTGTATAATAAAGAAGCAAAGGCCAAGAAAGCCAAAAATCCGCCGACCCGTTAAGAAAATTTTTATATTATATCCGCCGCAGTGTTTCGTAATGGTTACGATTTCTGCCTAACACAATAATCAGATGGGCGATTCCACGTATCCCGTGGCAAAAATACACTGTAAACATTTCATTTTTTTTTGAATAACTTTATTAATCACAAGAAGCTTGTATTATAAATTACATTTAAAATTCATGGGATGCTAAATTTGATTTTCCAAGCATTATTTTATCGAAATCTGAGGTTAGATATTTTTAAAATTAAAATCATGTTTTTTTCAAAAAAAATATAAATAGATAGTATATGATATAACTACACCTGTATAATTATAAAATATAAATATACATTAATATATAAAATACAACCACTAACTATGGTAATTGTAGCTTCCTTACTTACTATATAAATAAAATTAAAAAAACTTCAAGATTTCATAAATTCGATAAGGAAAAGGGAAATATTTTATTCTTTATCTTTCTTTCTTTTTTTTTGAGTAATGTAACTTTTCAATGAACAATAGGGAAGAAAATATGTTTGTTGTGTTTGTGTATGTTTGGCAAAATAGCTGGGGTAATTTACAAAAAAATAAAAGGTACATAAATTTTTTTTAAAGAAAAGTTGAATATATTTTTTTTTTATTTTTTTAAAAAAAATAATTTTTAAACCGAAATAAAGGATATCATTTTTTTTTCGCGACACGGGGGTCTGCAAGTAACAAAATTTTCGAGCCAGGGCCGGGTTGGAATTCAGTTTTTGCTTGGCCGGTCAAAATTCGTATCCGGGCCGGTTTCAATTTTTTACCAAGGTGCCCCGTTCCTATTTCTTATTAGCCAGAAATTCTAACTTACTTGTTTTTACGTATTTTATATTATAGCAATAAAGGCAAAATGAAGAAATAGTATTTATGAAATTAAATGATTACGATAGCGAATAAAACGATTTATATAAAAAAAAATATATCGGCCTATATTTAAGACTCGAGTGGGGCTGGAATTTACGATAATAGTTCAAATCGAGGGATGTACAACTGAATGAGATCTTTTAATTTTGATGGAATGTATTTTAAAATTAAACTAGTTATCTGAGGTAAAGGAGTGGGAAGGATTAAAATGGTTGAAGAGATGTAGGTTAGGGTTAAGATATATTAAAAAATGGTTTTTGTTTAAAATAAAATCATTAATAATTTTCCAAATTTTGGAAAATCACGCTATAACATATAGAACAAATAGAAATTTTAGATAAATCAGCTGTTGTTACGGCAATTTCCTAGCGTTGGACCATAATCGGATCTAGCATTCCAAAAATGGAGGGAAAAAATTGAGGAACTAATTAAGGTACGGAATCTGAATAAACTTTCCCAAATTCTAGCTACTATAAATTTCACAATGTAAAAAAAAAACCTTGGCAATTTTTTTTTCGCACGTAGACTAGAGATTTTACTATTGTTTTTTTTAGAGTAAATTTTCCAAATAATTTATTGAATAAATAATTTATAAAATATAGCATTTGCAATAATAATATATTAGACCTAAATATACAAGGTTAACAAGTGTGATGGTTAAATTTACCTAAGATTTATTTATTCATAGTTAACGGTGATGTTAAACGGCTCCGTTTTGAGCCAACTCAATATTTTGTTCAGAAAAAATATTGCTTAAGTTTCGAGAATTCGCTTATAGATGTCCAAACCGTTGTTGCTTCTACAAACAAAATCTTCAGGCTTGCGTCGTAACATTATTCTGGATGAAATATTATGTTAGCCGTTTTTAAAAATCGGCTCAAAACGAGCCGTTTAATAACACTAAATAGTTATTCAAAAAAATATATAATTATTTAATTGTAATATTAAAAAATATAATGATGCTAATAAGAAGTTATGTTAATAATTGTAATATTAATAAAAATATATAAATATACTATTGTTAAAAATTTGAAAAGATCATTTTAAAATTAAATAATTCATTATTCACATTGGTAGTGTTGTTGAACGTCTCGATTCGAGCCGATTTTTAAAAATGGCTAACTCAATACTTTTATCTAAAAAAAATATTAGGCAGGCGCCCAAAGATTTTGCTCACAGATGGCACAAGGATTTGAACATCTATTCGCAAATCTCAGGATTTAAACATTATTTTTTTGGCTAAAATATCGAGGTCACCGTTTTTAAAAATCGCTAAAATCCTTGCTGTTTAACAACACTATTCACTAGTTTAACCTCCTAACATATTATATTAGATATATCAGATCAAGTTTTTCTACTGGTAGATCTAATAATGATTTATAGTTTACCAGAAGAAAAAATAATAGATTCGCAGTAATAAAATAAATATTCAAATTGTAGGAACGCACAGAAAATAGTTTAAAAAAATTAATTAATTAATTATAAAGTTATGTTATGATAACAAATCAAAATTACTTTCAAAGATTGTTTATAAGTATGTATTTTTCAAACATGTTATTTTACAATTTAAATAATATTATATCATTCTTTTTGTAATACTTAAAAATGAAAATTTTTGTCAAAAAATGATTTTTTAAATTTAAGCCTTTAAAATATAGTATTTTGAAATTTTTTTTATTTTTTTTGACAATAATTTACATTTTAAATATTAAAAGATATTAAAGTTTCATTTGTAAAATTACATGTTTTCGAAACTACCCTCTCATTGTGTAACCCAACCCCATAAATAAGAATGTATAAAAAAAATTAATCACAAGATAAAAAAAATTATTTTAAATTAGCTTTGGTTGACAATAATATAATAAATGACACTAAATACAAATGAATGTATAGATATTCTAATAAAATACAAAATAAATTTATAAAGCTAATAATTTTAAGTTTTCTTAAAGCTGTGTCCAACCCCATTTTATAGAAATTTGAAAAGTTTGAAAACTTTCGCAAATCTTAATATTATAAAAAAATTGTATATTAATTGAAATTTATAAAATTTTCTAGAATTATGTTTTGGGCATGATTTTATTTTTAAATTGAAAATAGCCTATTTATTTTTTTTCATTAAAGTTTCAAAAGTTTGTGAAATTAATTTTTGATATTTTAAACACAGCCTTAACAAAAATATTTTCTTTTAATAAAATCACTTTAAACAATTACTGTCTTATAACCCCAACATTGGTAATAACTAATAACAATCCTGTTAGAATATTTTTGGAGAGTTGAGAAGGTAGGGAATATATTTTTGAAACAAGAAAATTAATTAAAAACTTTCCAAGAATAAAAAAAAAATCAAATAACAAATTTTATAAATATTTATCTAACAAATTATTCGAATTAAATATTCATAAAATATATATAGGAATGTGTTTTAAGTTTTAGTTAATTTTTGGTTATTATCATTGAGATGGCCAGGCCATAATATTTAAGATCTAGCACTGGTCACAAACTAGATTTAATATATAAATTGAAACAGTTGAATATAACATATAAGTTTTAATAAGTAATACTTCATTAAAAAAATAATAATCAATAATTAAAAATTATTAAAGAAAGCATAATATATTTGTATGTAATTTGATAATAAATGATTGTTTATTATTGGAATAAAATATGAAATATACTTGAGTGAGGAATGAAATTTGGTGACTTTGCAGTAAAAATCTTCCCATAATGGAGGAGCAATCTAATATATAATTTATAATTATTTTAAGATTATTTAGGAATATTTTATGAAACTAAAAATTTTAAGTGATTATTTCTTATACCTTCATTTCATTTATAATATGCTGAAATTTTTCTGCTATAGCTTTTATATCCTTTTCAACTATCTCCCCTCCTTGCAGCTTCTTCATTCTTCTTATTCTATCACGTTGGTTTGTTTTGTCTAAATATACCGTTTAAAAAATTTGGTTTCTAAACATATGATTTTGGAATTCGAACTAATTTGTTTACCTTCACAAGGAAAGGCATAAATAAATTCTTTATATTTAATAAACTATATTTTTGGGAAGAAAATTAATTAAAAAAAGTTTTTACGTTGTTTTGGGAAGATTTAAAAAAAATATGGGCATTAAATTCACAAAAATGGGTAGTATTTTTGTTATCAAAAAATAAATGTTTTTAGCACTATTTATAAACAAAAAGCAGTAAAATCATGAAAAAATCATAGTATAAATAAGATTCTCATTTTTTTAAATTTAATATGAGATTTTTGATAGTGCAAATGCCTATATAAACTTTATTTTCTGCAGGCGATAATAGATCAACTGGAATGTGTAATTGAAGGGAATATTTTAATTGAATGAAGTTAATTTAAAATTAAACAAGTATCTAATAAAACAAATATAAATATTAGCTAGAAAGAGATGAGCTCTGATTAATTAAAGGTTTTCGAGCTATTGATTATGACTAAGATGTATTAGTTTTGAAAGTGGTGGTATTGAACTTATAGAAATTATATAGTAAAAACTTAAGCGAATTATTAAGTTAAAGCAAATAAATCTAAAAACGTATATCATGATTAATACCAAAGATTTACTAAAATAAAATAAAACTATTTTATTTCATAAAATAATAAAACGGTAAAGATTTTAAAATTTTTCTTCTTTTTATATAAACATATTTAAATCATTTTATAAAAATTAGAATACGCATAGTTTAAATATTACTTTGCTAAAACAGACGATTTACTTTTTATAAACTAATAATTTATACAAAATAAAAAAAACTATTTTATAATAAGGAAAAATATGAAAAATCGATTTACCAAAAATTAAATAATCCAAAAAAGCTATTTTTGTGAGGAATGTCAATGTTTGCATATAAAAACAAAATATTTAATTACAAATTTATTTAAATAGAATAAAAATAATGCATGAGACAATCTTCCAACATCCCTTTTCTTTGAAGAACCTAACAGCGGTATTCTGCGTCATCTTCTAGCCGGATTTTCCACCGATTGCCTGGGCAGTATCAACTGCCCGCTCCTCACTAGGGCTGTTACCATGTAGTCCCTTAAAAATGTTTACCTCCGAAGCCCAAGCAAACTCTTATCAGGTATGGTAAGTATGGCCTCCTTGATATATATTGTTCCTCTCGTCTACTTTGATCCATGGTTATTGTCTTTAACTTTTTGATCCTCTCCCTAGAGGCGGAATGCCTCTTTTCTGGCCCGTTGTAACCAATCTCTAGATTCTCTGGGACTCTATTTTACGGATCTCCATATTTACAATTTTATTTCCTACTCGAATAATAAAACCTATCCCTTCCTTTCCTATTTCTTCTATCTAGTGAAGGTCACGGTCCGGTCTTTGGTCCGGACTGGACCGATAATCTCGGACCAGACCACGGTCCTTAAGAAAAAGATCGATGTAGACCGTGGTCCTAAATAAAAAGACCGGTCCTGGACCGGTCTTTTTATTTCTTTAAAAAACATATTTTTTTAACCTAATTTGATTTGTTTTATCATTTTATTAATATAAGAGTATTATATAAACAATAAAATTTATCCAATGGTATTGAATAAATGATTTTGTGCTTGTAGAGGGCATATTAAAATTAAGAGTAGATTGTGTTTTTTGAGATATTTTCATTTTCATCATTAGAAGTATATATTTTATGTTTTATCAGATGTCTGCTTAAGGTACCTAATTATTTTATAAAGAATAAGGTTAAGTAATTTTTACAATAAATTATACAGACAGTTTCTTTAAAAAAAATAGAACTATATAATAACTAAAATATTTTAATAATATTATTGCTTATTTTGATTAATTTATTGCTTAAAAAATTATAAACAATTATTTTGTTACTAGGTGCTGACTACATTAAATTTGGTACTGCAGTGAACACATACTTTATGTTTTTATTGGGACTATAAGTAAAATGTTTCTTGGACAAACTTATGGTTTTCATATTGTAAAATAATAATTAACAAAATCTAAAATGACTCTTCTAGAAAAATATCATAAAATAAAATATACAAAAAAATTATATTAATTGTATAGTAAAGCAAACTTAAACAATAATAAAAGACCGGTCCGGACCGCGGTCTGGACCGTAAAAAATAAAAAGACCGGTCCGAACCACAGTCCTCATGAAAAAGATCGGTCCGACAATCGGTCCGGTCCGATCCCGGTCTAAGACCGATAGAACCGGACCGTTGACCTTCACTACTTCTATCTTACCCTTATTTCTCCGTAATCTCTACCCCTAAAGCTCCACTTTATAGTCCCTTGATAATTTTCCATTTTTTTTTTCATTACCAACCTCTAATTATAAGTTTTCTACATGTATTTCCTTTTTTTCACTAAAAACGTCCAGTTACTATATTTTGCTATCATCCAAAAATTCTTTTTCAATAAAAATTTAAACTACTATAATTTTTCTATCATCCCAAAATTTCCTTTTCATTAAAAACCTTGATTTCCTTTAATATATCTAGTTTAAATTACTCTCTATTCTCGGTCGTTTCCATTTCACATGTCTCGCCATGTATCCATCTGGCCTTCAATTTCTACCTCACTTTCTTTCTTCCTAATTTTTCTTTACTACCCTTGCCCCATTTAATAGGACCATCAAAAAACAATACCCAAGCACGATTCCCTATTGGAAATTTCTCAACATTTATTTGTTCACTCGATGTTAATTTTCCTTTAAAAAATCTAATTCAGATCTCGTTTTTCTTCCTAAAAATATCCCAGCTCGGGATTTCCTTTTAGATGTCTTCATATTTTTGATTTCTAACAACGATAACTACTATTTTCCTTTTCCATATTTTTCCCTTTTTTAACCAACACTATTACTTGGTAATGTGGTAGCGAAACTAAATGATGTATCTTCCATCTTTCGCCAAATAAACCAAATGCTCTACCTTTAAAAGCTAAACTTCCATCTGATACTAACATTTTCATTAATCCATATTTTCCTATAAATTTTTTTATCTTGTCCAAGGCTACTCTTGTTGATAAACCAGAAACCTGCTGACTGGCAATCCATTTATTTTGAACTCGCATCTACCATGATTAAATATCCTTTCTTCTCATATAAAAAATCTACATGTATTCTTTCGCATGGAATGCTGGTCTTTGCCATTTATCTTTTTTGTTTCTTGCTGATATATTAGTCCACGTGCTACATGTATCATAATTTTTAGCTACTTCATCTATCTCACATTCGGCCAACAAATATATTCTTTCTATGCTTTGATGTCCGGCATGCACAGGCTAAAATATCCTTTCTTAATAAATCAGGTATAACTAAACGATATCCTCTCATTACACAGTTGTCTTTTATGTAATTTTTTCACAGTTTATCGGGAAATAAATCTTGTTCAATTTCTAAGCTAGATAACTCAACCTTATCATTCTCGCTTTGCATTATTTCTCCAGTTACATTGTTCCTCTCATGGACAGTTTCACATAAAGACTACCAATTATAATCAGGACCTATATTCTAGATGTCACTCCAACCTAAGAGATGTAATCCATAACATTATATCCTTATTTATATATAATAATTTTAAAAACCTAAAATCTTTACCATACTACCGTTTACTTGTTTAGCTCATATACTTCTTGCTATTAAATTTACTTCTGGCAAACATTTATTAAAATCTTTTACAATCATTAAACTGATCTCGACTCCTATAACTAATAAAAAGAACGTTCCTATTCTTATCTTAATCATAGGGCATCTACTTCTCTTTATTATTTCTTCTAATTCAATTTTCCACATATTTCCTGTTTCAATTTCTTTTACAATAATATTTCCATTTTTGATAATATCTTAATTTACAAATATTAAATTATTTATATTTGTTTCATTTTTTTCTAAATTCATATTATTAAAAAATTGGGACATACATACTTACATACTATTACTTTTATTATTTATAATATTATTCTTATTCTCCTTTATTACATTTCTCTTGTGAATTCCCTTCTTGTTCGCATTTCAAATTATTGCCAAAAAATCTTCTACAATTAGTAGATACGTAACCATTACGCTCACATTACATTATGCTTAGATGCATAGTTAACTCGCATTGTCGCGACATGTGTCCGTGTGGCCACCACAATAACAAATAATCGGTTTGTAATAATCTATCTTTCTAGTATTATTTTACCTTCTTATAATACTCTTAATTTTTTATAATTCTCTAGTTTCCATCTATATACATGCCGTATTTCTCCAAGGTTCAAAGGGGGTAGCCATTGTTTTAATATCATAACGCGGTCATGAATAAAGCAAAAAAAGCTAATGCCCAAATATTAGAATGTAAATAAAAGACATGAGTGAATGGCGCGACTACTTGTGAGAAAGATGCATTAATGCGATAATGAATGAATTTAAAGCTAAGTCTTACCCAGATGCGAAAATAAAAAATTGATAAAAAAAAAGAAGCCCATATATATAACGCGAAATTTATCAAATATGACGCCGTTTAAATAAGGGAAATAAAGTCATGTTACGGGTCGGCGGAAATGAAGGACTGAGCTGTCAAATAGGTTTAATTATAATAAGCGAATGATCAAGATATGCAAGTCACGATAACGAATACCTAGAAAAATGATGGCGAATAATATTGAAATAAAGAGACGTGAATTATTAATATGCGATTAATGATTTATTAACTTTGCGCAACCTAACCAATAAACCATAATCTTGCGATAATTAATTTAGTAATATTAAAAAAAAAGGGCCTTGAATATTAATGGTTTTTTTAAAAATAATTAATTTCTGATACCAAAACGGAATAGCTACAAATTTGAACGAAAATTAATCTAAATATTGGTAAGTTTTAATAAACACGACAAGCCTCAATTGGATATAAAAAAATGGATAATAGCGCGAAAATTTAAAGCTAAATGGCGAAATATAAAAGAGGGATAATTGGAATTGAAAAGTAAAAGGGAATACACAATACTTACCGTAATA